CGATTATTTTCATTAGCATTTTAATAGCATTCCAAATTTTCCAGTACTTTTCAAGAATATCAAGAAATGCAGTTGGTATATGAATTCTCTATTAGTGATGTTACTGGGATGCATTCACGCGCCTAGTGCAGCTGAGCATGACTGTTCAATCATGGACTACATACCTCCAGTTAGTACTCACCACATGCCGATGTATGTGCACCATCTTTTCGGAGACGATTACGAAATGATCGTTTACTTTTTCGCGAATTCCTTTCAGCATGTCACACGGTTTTGTACCACATTGACAGCCGCACTATCTTCCCCATCATAATCTGTTAAATTAATCGCACCCTTGATTAAAGTTTACGGACATATGGCTGTTCCACATTTTCCATGGTTCAGACTACCTGCTTGTTTCGAGATTTACAGTTCAGCCAACCAACGGACGCAAATTGTTTAGTCAGTTTTATCCCACCATTGATCCTGCTCCGGCCATTCCACACTTAGGACCGTCCACTTCTACAAATCGGTCTTCAAACGGCTGCAACTTATCATTCGACTGTCTGATACGCGATGTCCATCAGCTACCGGTAAAAGCAGGCGGAAATTCTCGCGATAACATTGACTCATCAGTGTTATAGCGATTTTTTATCAAGATTCAGTGGTATAACTGACGACAGATAGCTTCACATATTAGCTTTGAATTGTCATTTTTTTAAAAAATCAATTTACGCTTCCGTAGTGAAACTGTTTAAGAAATAGAAAAGAAGGAAAGGGTCATGAAAGTCCAGCAAAAATTAGTCATTTCAAGCAGGAACGTCCAAGTAGTGGTAGATCTACGGTGGTAATTTGCGGCATAATATGAATATGAATGGCGGGAGTTGTAAGTGATCGAATTAGTTGTGTAACTGTACTTATCACGTGAAAGCATCCTGGTAACACGGAGTTGGTCCACGTCAATTGTCTGGGCAGCCTTGGTATTCTTGGTTCTGCTGGTTAGTTTTTTGGGCGAGGTGAACCTTGCTATCAGATCTTTCCAATGATTTGCAAAAAAAAAAGCTTTTGGCCAACTGTGCCCAGGAAAAAAAGCATGAAGACCAAGTTTATATCCTTGTTTAGCACAGCACACAAAAACACATCCACACATACACACACAATCCGTCCATTAACCACCTAATTTGTTCAATTTTGTTGTTTCAACTAACGTCACCTGTTCCACATGCTCATTGCTTCTGCCTGGTGATACCATCTGTGTTATTAGCTACTCGTAATGCATCCTATTTTATGTAAAGTATCCCAAGAAATAGACAAGAAAATTTTTTTTTGAAGTAAATTAAACATCAAAAATTTTTTACTCATTGGAATTTCTAGAGGAATTATGTAAATATTTAACCTATTTCTTTGAGATATTAGAATCAGCCATCAGTTTTTGGTCTGGTTCTCCAGCTATGCAGTTGACAACTTTTCCAGTTGCTTTGACCAGTGCTGCATGGCTTGTTGGTCAGCCTGCTGGCGATTCCGACGTTCGTTTTGTCTTCCTAGCGGTTTTCTTGACAGGAGTATTTGTTAAGATCTTAAAAGTTTCGGGATATTCTTAGCGTGTGTTTATGTTAAGCAGCAGACTCTTGAGACATTTTGAAATATTAGAGCCATATCAACCTATGAGGGAGGTAATAAATTAAATTTTCTTCTATTTCTACTTTTAAGTAAGAAACAGAGACACTCAGAAGCAGTAATTCGTTTGATCCTACTTTGCCATCAACAATCTTTTACTGTTGTAAGGTTCTGGATAATGAGAAAACCCTCATTGGTGGGAAGGGAAAAAGTACTCTCTTCAATTCGTGTTATTACGTGCATGCGCATTTTATCCACCGAATTTTTGCACATTGAATTCGCGCTTCCAATTCATTGCATGAATGCTAATACAAAAATTATTTGTAATAATGCAAATTATTTCCATTCAGTAGCGTATCCTCGTGACGCGGTTTCCTCTTTTTCAAAATAAGCGTCCAAAGTTCCCTCCGATAGGCGAAGGTACCCGGGAAGTAGCCAAGAGCAGCAGTTGCTAAAAGCAGTCACACGCTGGCAAGATCATTGACGCCTCCGCTCTTTCGAGAGTTGCTTACAAGCAAAGTGATGGCTAATATCTTCTTTTAGGATTCAAAAAAAAAGCTGGGATATTTGAGGGTATGATGGGGCGGAAATTCAAGTTGACAGGTTTCAAGAAGTAATTAAATTTTTTCTTTTTTTGGTGAAAAAGGCGAAAATTTTCTGTCCTTAGCTGTAAGTCAGAGATTTTTTTACCGAAAAACACGAATTTGACTCTACTTCTTTCGAGTTTTTCTCCTTGGAGTTTTCCTCCAAATTTTCTTTGAAGTTTCCTGGATTTGTTTCGTTTCCCGGATACGCCACTGATTCAGCTGTTGCTAACAAAATTGTGTTGTATTTTTGACTTGTACGGATTTTTCGCGCATTTTATTCATACTATTTGTGAAAAAACAGAACGCATGTTTATCACACCAAAACTGCACATATTTGTTTGTTCGTTTTTTTGCCTTGGGCATTATAATTAAGTGCTACGCATGGGAGAAGGAATGCGTTGTGGAAGGGGGGAGGGGACGAGGGAAAGGACGGGGGAGGAGGGGAAGGGATGGAAGAGGGGATGTGAGGG